TAACTGTTATTATAATTTTAGTATTGTTAAATTTTTCTCACACTAGTTTGTAGATATTACATTATTTTAATTAGGGTATAAGTTTATGTTAAGAAAGCCGTGTCCACCTGTAATTGTTGGAACATTTAGTGCTTTGCACACATTAAGTGTCCAACGTTGGTGAACCTTAATAAATAAATAAATAATGTAATGGCAAATGCACTTTTCAGATCTGAGGTGAACGGCCAATTCAAAAGGTTGCTTTCTCAGCGATTCAATTTCATAGAGCTCATCAATGAACATCAGAGACAACATTGTCCGTGAGATTCCTTCTTAAATTGAATCTGTGCGTCTGTATCGTCAGCACGATCAGTTCGTATCGAATTTGTGGACTTTAAAGTTAAACTCTGGTCGTAAAGAAACCGCAAATAAACAGAACAACGTTTACCTTTTAGATCCTTTGAAATAAATTGCAACAATAATAAACTTCAAAGTTACGAGTACTCAAGGGCGGATCCCCTGGGCTGGGGCCAGGACCTAGGTGGACCATTAATTAAAATTGTAAAACATAATGTTTTTATATATTTTTGCCACAATATAGATTTTAAGTACCTTCAATATTGAATTAATTTAATATAATATTTTCATCCGACTTCAAAATGAGGAATTTCTCAATTCGATTGGTATTTTTTTTTCGATGTATGTACACCGATTACGTTGAGATCCGATTTACGTGATTCTACTTTAGTTTGATGCAGAATAGTTGCCATTTGGTCCCATAAAAATTTAACATATTTTGGCCAAGTAGTTTTCATTTTATGCACATTTTTACAATATTTTAATATTTGTCATCAAATCTTGCAAATTAAATTTGATCCACTTCCCGGTTACCGGTTGAGCTGAAATTTTGTAATACATATGTAAATCGCGAGACAATGCAATATTATTATGACGTGCTGGTGATCTTATCATGGAGCTGGAAGGTGAGATCTTTGGGAAATAAAGTTTGTTCGTTCCGTTTGTTATGAATGTGGATTCTGTCTTTGATTAGATAGATTATATAGATGAGCGCTGAATATTATAAATGAATGAATTAATGACTGAATAAATAGTTTTTTTGTCATTTATGAATTTTATATTTATTTTTTTACGTGAATGATATAATTTTAGTTTATGTACGGCTATTTTTGGAGTTTTCATTTGGGTTTATCATTAACCCCTATCCCGACAAGAGGTCTTAGGCTACTTGTCACTGAAGTGGAGCCAGCGTGAAATTAAGAAACATAAAAGACTACATAAAATCTGGTAACGAAGAAATAAATAAAAAGAAATTTCAAAAATAAGTAAGCCTACCAATAGCTACTTAAAAAAATACTATTTTATATAATGACAATAAAAAGCAACAAAATGTTATAGTTTACCTGATGTAATCTAGAAAAATCCTACTCTAGTTTATAGAATAACCGATTACAGACACTAAAAATAAAAAAACTACATTAAAAAAAACCGACTTCGACCGAGGTATAAAATAACTTAATAACGATTCAATTTAATACACCTCTCATGCAAACTTAATACCTTTAATAATTAATAAATTACGACTTCAAACTTATCAATAAGTAGCACATACAAGTACTTGTACAAGTACTTTATTAAGTTATTTTGTACCTTTTAGTTTTTGAAGTCGGTTTTTTAAACGTATTAATATAATAAACAATAAAAGAACCGACTTAAAATAAAATATGTACGTAAGTATTACAACGCTACATGCAAAACAATGCATATTTATGCGATAGAAGCAAACACGGCTGATTTCCTGTCAGATTTCGAAGAGTTCCGTTGCTATCTCCGAAAATTATCATCAGATCTATATGAAATTTATATGGGGCCATTTCGGAATGAAACCCTTTCGAACAAGAATTTTGCAAATCCGTCTATATACGACGAAGTTATGCCCGAATATACATAAAAAAATGTAAACATCCGAATTGATAACCTCCTTCTTTTTGAAGTCGGTTAAAAATACCTACTTTTTACTTGTATCTATGATTATAAAAATTAAATTAAACTTATCCCTTGACCACGACTATGTGACTCCCCCCCCCCCCCCCCCCCCCCCCCCCCCCCCCCCTGGCACCAAAGCTGGATCCGCCCTTGCGAGTACTAGTACTGTCGATTGCGTGGATTTATTTCTTTTTATTATATCTTCACTGAAAAGGCAAAACTACTTAAAGGCCAATAATTTATTTTTACGTTTTAACCACACGGTACCGTACGATATTGATAGGAAAAGATGAACTAAACAAAATAAAAATTAAGCATAGACAAAAACAAAGGTACAATATATGTTTACTTCCCTTAGGTTCGTAAATACGTAACCAAACCATGTTTGAGCTCACTGCTTAAGCTGCTTCAGTTTATCTCTCACTGAACTAAAAAATTTTGGTTTCAATCTAGGCCGCGGCAATAATTGTAATTTGTGTAGGTGCCACAAATAATTAACTATATGTATTAGTACATATTAACTAAAATATTAGAAAAAAATATTGTAACAACCCGAACATTCCCAACGCAGAATAACATGGAATCGCCCAGGAGAGGGTATCCCGTATTCCCCGATTTTTTGTCGAAAAATTTGGCGGAGAAGATTTTTTTTATGCGAAAAGTTGTCAAACGAGCAGACGGTTCACCTGATGTTAAGTGAATACAGCCGGCCATGGACAACCTTTTGAAAATTGGGCTCCGGCTACCTCACTCACCAGACGAAACGCGAAAGTATTTGTCATACTTCCACTTTACTCTAGTCTTCTGTGAGGTCGTGGTACTTACCCGGACGGGCCTGCCCATTCGTGCAACAGCCGAGGCTGCTGCGTGGCCCTACCACCGTAAGATGGATGTGGCATTTTTATCAACTAAGAGCCAAACTAGGCCCTGCGAACGCCTGTCCCTTCAGCAAGGTAGTCCGCTTGGTTCCCACCTCACCAGAGGAATATAAAAAATGACTCCGTGACGCAGTTGTTAAGGTATTGGATTCGGCGTCGGGGGTCGTGGGTTCGATCCTCACACGGGACAACTATTTGTGTGACCCACAGATAGTTGTTCCTCATCTGGGTGTTTGTCCGTGTGAAATTTATGTTTGTAAAACGTCCTTACAACACATGGTAATGTTATTCTAAAGTAAGGACAGTGTTTCTCAAAAAAAAACATATAGTGCCACTTAATAGAAGCTTCCAGTATTGACTTCCATCAGTTGGCACTGCTATACACCAGCCTGAACTCCCCGCTAAAGTGGGATTAAAAGGACTACCTTCCCACACCGACCCCAAAGAAATCGAAGAAGCCATCCAGGACCTTGGATTCCCGGTGCGCTTTGTAAAATACTAGCGACCCGCCCGGCTTCGCGCGGGTGCAATGTTTTACATATATAAACCTTCTTCTTGAATCACTCTATCTAGTAAAAAAAAACACATCAAGATCTGTTGTGTAGTTTTAAAGATCTAAGCATACATAGGTACAGACAGACAGCGGGACGACTTTTTTTTTATACTCTGTAGTGATTTTATGCTATGTTTTTATACTATGTAGTGATATTCCATCACGAGGACAACACCCGGGCTGTTTACATAAAGTTCGACCATCTAAGCCAGAGAGTTGACTAGGCTCTACGTATTTACGAGCTTCACTTCTTTCTCGGTATATGTGTGGACTGGCGCAGTAAAACGGGACCATCCCAGTGCCATCGCTGCCGAGCATATTGGTATTCATCGGCGACCTGTTACTGGCCACTAAAGTGTATCCTGGAGAAGTTTGGTCCGAATCTGGCGGAGAGACAATTCGGGTTCCCCAAGGGTCGGCCAACCATCCACGCAGTGTTGCAAGTTAGTTCTCTCGCGCAGGAAAGAGTTTCCCAAGACGACTTGGCAGTGACGAAAAACAATAAAGTCTTATGCTTCGGTGATGGCCAGCATTATTTTTGTGCTTAAATAAAAAAAAATCTATTCCATATTCAGGGGCAGGATTGAGAAAAAAGTATTTTTGTTTATTTAAATAAAGTCATTAATAGAGTCATTACTATAGTCATTACAGTGTTCATTACATGTTATAACTTAAAGACAAACGTTTTCGTTTCAATCAATTTATTTATAGTTTATAGTATGTTATTATATTATTAATAAGTACCTACTTATTATAAAACGAATGAATAAGTAATGGGAAAGTAGCTAACTAGCGTAAAAAATATCACAAGATTTCATATTTTAATTATTGTTTTATATACAACAAGTAAGTATACTTTTTAACCTTCACAATAAGAGTTCGATGAGCGATTATTTTTTGTTAACGTAAATAGTGACCCCGATAAGTACTTTTTTATTTTGTTTGTATGTTTAAACAAGATGCCTTTGACTTTAAACGAGTAGATAATAAATGGCAAAAATAAATATTTGCTTTTAAATTTTTTTTAACTTTTTAAATAAACGATATACTAAGCGAAAATATACAAGCTTTCCTCCGTTACTTTTATTTTAAAAATAGCTCAATATTTAGATTAATAAGGTTGCCCACTACCATTGCACGTTGTTGTGGGTTCGATCCCCACGCGTAACAAGTTTTTGTTACACGTAAATGTATAGGTACGTCTAGGCAACCTCTGCAATATCCAGAATAAGCAGCGTTTACAACTTCTCATGCACATTAATGATTTCCTACTCCGGGAATAGTTTATGAATAAAAAGGATTCTGATTAAAATAATGTTTTCAAATCTAAAATTAAGTTTAAGGCAAGTGCGATGTCAATATTCTGAGTTTTTTAGGAATGGTAATAAGCTGTCAAGTCTATCGGTTAGAGTATACAGTTTATCGCATATACTTAAATAAACTGATACTATTATTTGCATATCTGTAATTAAACTTTATACATAAACATTTTTGGATGAAAAGTATCAGTGTTCACTGATATGCTCGTCAGTAACTGACGTTTACAATAGGGTCGTAATTACTTGAATACCTACTCTTTTTTTAAAATGGCGTCGAAAGTGGCAGTTGTTACTGGCGCTAATAAAGGTATAGGATTTTCCGTGGTGAAAGGTCTGTGTTCCAAATTTAATGGTGTTGTGTATTTAACCGCAAGGAATAGAGAAAGAGGATTAGAAGCAGTGAATAATTTAAAATCAATCGGATTAAGCCCAGAATTCCACATACTTGACGTAAGTGATGAAAGCAGTGTCAGAGAATTTGCTGATTTCATTAAAAGTAAACATGGGGGTTTTGACGTTTTGGTGAATAATGCAGGTATTTTAGAACGGGCAGAAGTTTATCCCACGTATGAAGCAGCAAAACGCAATATTGATATAAATTATCGAAGCTTACTCATCATTGAAAAGTATTTATATCCTTTGTTAAGAGATGGCGCTAGTGTCGTCAATGTTTCAAGCGCTTGTGGCCACTTATCAAATTTAAAAAATAACAAGTGGCTTAATTTATTACAAAAGAAAGACTTAAAAACTGAAGAAATTAATACATTTGTTGACGATTACCTTGAAAGTGTGAAGAATGGAACATTTAATAAAAACGATTTTGCAGATGATGGTAAACACGCAGAGCACAGAGTATCAAAAGTAGCGTTAACCGCATTAACTATGGTCCAGCAAAGAAAATACAAAAACATTTCTATAAATGCTGTCCATCCCGGCCATGTTAAAACAGATATGGCAAATGGAGGAGGAATATTAGAGCCTGATGAGGCAGCAGAAACTATCCTTTATTTAATTTTGATCGCATCCCCGAAACTTAAAGGGACTTTTATGTGGCACGACAGAAAGCTTGTAGATTGGTATGATTATGAAGGCGACTATTATTGTAGAAATATTTGGTAATAAAAATTATATACGAAAAACAAATATTCCTTTAATTCCTACAGTTCAATAAGCTTATTTAAATACCATATGCACCTTTATTAATTTTTCTTAGTTTATAAAAGGTTTCCAAAACGGAAAGAACCCCAAATATTATATTTATATACTGGCGGACCCGACATACGACATAAATCCGTCAAGAACTTATAAATAAATTAAAAAAAAAATGATTAAAATCGGTGCAACCGTTTAGGAGGAGTTCAATGAAATTAGACACGTATATATATAAAGATAAGCTTTTATTTATTTATTTATTTTTACTTCATTGTTACACCTTAGGCTAAAGGCTACAATGGGACTTAATGCCTAATGGTCAACTACACCATCTTATCCGATGTTCTCACCATGACAAGATGCCTTGTCATGGTGAGAAGTAGATGGCAGGTGCTAAACCAAAAAGTAAATAAAAGTAGAAAAATATATACATAAAAATTAAATATAATGTGTGGGCATATACGAAAAATAATATATATATATATATACTTAAATATTGTATGCTTTTTGTACCTTAAAATGAAATGGAACCCCTATAGAAGCAATTCATTTTCCGTCTGTCTTTCAAGAACCCTTTTCCCAAAGCACTTGAATATTTTGATATTAATTTAAACAAAAAAAATGCAATTAATAAATGAAATATGGGACTATAGACGAAATCTACTTACCTACTACCTATTTTGGTACGAAACGAGAGGTGGTTGTATGCGCTTAGTTTTTGTTGATTATCGGATGGGTTGCTTTTTGTGTTCTTACTGGAGTCGCGCTACAGCGCACGTGAACCGCGTGGGGTGAGGCGACTTCAGACAATAGTCGAACTATATGCATAACTACAGGTTTGTACGGTAACCTCGGCGTGCGAATCCGACTCGCACTTGGCCGGTTTATAATTTGATATGAAGTTTTCCTATTCGATGAAAAAGAATAATTAATTACAAAATTATGTTACTTTATATTACAAGTTTTTTAAATTGCTTAATGCAAAACAACTTTACTCTGTCGCGAAACATGCACATAGTGTTCTTGTAGCGGAACGCAAAACTTCGACAACCAAAAGTCAACGGATTTGACAGATTTAAACGATCCGATCGAATCGTCTTGTACTCTTGTATTTGACAGTAAAGATTTGACAGTAGAAGGATTCCGTTTGTGGGTGTGCGAAATCACTTAAACTTAAATTGTCAGTTCACAAGATTATTAATAATTTAAAGCATCAATATATTATCAATTCTATTAAATTGGAATCTTCTTAGAAAAATAGTTAGTGTTTAAAACATCAATCTATAAATCTGTTAGGTAAGTTTGTCATGTATTTTATTTTACAAATTTAATTTACACTGAAAGATTACGCGAAAGGAATTTGCGGCTTTCGTCAATTTTGCAGCATCTGTTTTACGAAAGACACACAGTGCGTAAACCGTTATGATGTGTCACTAATAAATTCGAAGCTGTGGTTTCTATACATATACTTCAGTCTGAATTGAGCCAAAAAAGGCGGGGAAGTGCCTTGACCTAGCGTATAACATGGTCATTCTCAGTGCAGCACTGCGCAGACCTGTTTTTGTAACTCCTGGAAACAAAAAGTCGCTCTCGTGATATCAGTGTTATAAAATTATCATACTTGCGAAGTTTTTGTGCCAATAACGCCAATGCAAGAAGTCCGGAATGTGATATTTCTAAACGTTCGTTGCGAAGTGACCTTCGGTGCTTCTTTCTCTCCAAAAATAACATATATAGTTGTTATAAAATAATATATAAAATTTCAAATTATATTACTAAATAAACAACCTTATGAAGGACACGTAAAATAATTCATAGAAAACCAAAATGAATCATAACAAACAAAACTAATTCAATGTGACATAATATATTCTGTGTCTTCATATACTGTCATATGGCTGTGAACTTTGTTTACACTATAAATAAAATCTTAAAAAAAATTATAATGTAAATTATAATTTATCTTATGGATGTTTATAGAAGTTAAATTTAAAAGAATAATTATAAAGAATAAAATATAAGATTCCAGCAAACAGTTAAGTAGAAATTTCAACCGCAGCTCAAAAATGTGCATTTGTGTCATGAGCATTGTGAACATCAACGGACAATGGTTCTAGTTAAGTCTGTGCGAGTGATGGCGTCGTTCGCGGCGCAGGCAGCGCTCAGGTCACGTTGGAGCTCCTTAATTGAGTCTACGAGTGTTGACGTGCCTGGGGAAGTGACTGATGGGGTCCGCTCCGTTGTTGGATGGCTCAAACAGGCATTGTCAATTTACGTTTTATTGGGTAGCATTGTGGTCGCATTTTGTTCAGTTATTTGTGTTGGTCTCTTTATTTGTTGTTCTTCGGGCTCTGCAATGATTCACCAATTAATTTAAGTTTGCACTCGCAATATTGTTTGAGCATGATAAATAGGAATATGTCTTAGATGTGTTTTATATGCATTAAATTTTGCATGGTTGGTCCTATATTAATATAGATATTTTTCAAATCGAATATCAAAATTGAACCACTTATATGAAAATTGCAAATTTTTAACAGGTGTTATAAAAGCTCAAAAACCATCCTTACCAAGATGAAGAAAGTTACATTCAAAATAATAACCGTCATCATTATGTAACGCAAAACATTAAAAAAAAATACTTCTGAATCTGCTCTAGTATCAATATTTACTTTTAATATTATATTGCACTAAGTTTGCTTTAAAAAAGTAAATTATAATATAAGTTTAGTAAACTGTATAACTGTAGCAAAGTATCAAATTTCGGACATGGGACTTTTTTTTGAAATATTGTTTTTGTAGAACTAAATTGCGCCATATTTGTTGAATATGATTCAAAAACTTTGACACATTTAGTATCTTCAATAACTAATTTTCTACCACATATGTTTTACTATCTTGTTCACCCTTATCTTTGTTCTATTTAAACCCAAGTTCACCCTTGTAATGAAATGATTTGATTTTTGTTAAATATATATTTTAATTATCATAAATATACCCTATATTTATTTTCTTGAAGAAATTCTCACATATGTCTAAGGAGTCATGAGTATTTCGTTTTTAATGTATAAACATGGAGAATAGTCATTACTATTCCCTGTATTTATAGACTGTGCTTTAAGCTATATCTGTAGATTGCACAGACTGTGCCAAATTTATTTATCTGCACTCTTTAATTTGTAATAAGTCTTATGTTTGTTTTATAGGTTACAGGTAGGTTTACAGGATTTAATTTAATTAAAATAAGTTTCAAAGTTAATCATGTTATGAAACTCTATCGCAATAACATTATTTTAAGTAGCGTAAGTAATGTTTGGGTTTAATGAATTTCAATTCAACATATTCTCATGCATCTCTCATCTAATATGACACTGGAAATGTTAAATTGCTATACAATAAAAAAATATCAAAGGCAAAATGAGGCATCTGCCCAGCAGTGGTAGTTTTGAATTTGTATTTAGTAATATTTACTACTACTTTATGCATTTTTTGATAACTACCATTTCACAATTCATATGGGATATGTGACAACTTTGCCTACAACCGCATGCTGTGTAGTTTATAATTACAAAGTATAAAATGTTACTCTTTTAATTAACCTTCAACAAAGTGATAAGATAAATTTAATTGATTACAATGATCAGTCAAGGGTACAAAGAATGTTTCTGGGCACTGCATTCATTTACGGTTTCCATGGTAACCTGGCTTAATTCCCTGGAATCGTCAAAATTACTTTGGATAAAATGCATGGAAACATCAAATTACTTTGAATTCATTATATTGTATCCTATAAGGGTGTATATTTACATGACTATTTGCTTGTGTCTTGTAAATTGACTTCAAAGAAGAGGCTCCTAATTTGATTTTCATTTCTTACCTCAGAACTCCTGTTATTTACGAACTGATTTCAAAAAATATTTTTGGGTTGGGTTCGCTTTAGCTCCAATGTGGTCCCATTTTGCTTTCATTGATATTGGACCATGAAAGAACTTAGAGATACGTAAGAGAACTCAAAATTTAATAAAAAAAAATAAAGAGATATAAGAGCCGTGATAGCTCAGTGTCCGGGAGCTCGCCTTTAATTCAAAATACTGGAGCGACCCGAGTTCGATCCCCGATGCCGGCACCAATGAAATTGTTAATTTCAAGTGCTGAATTGTCACGTGCTCAGTGGTGAAGGAAAACATCGTGAGGAAACTGCATATTTTCGTAATTATAATTAAAAAAAATATTTCGAAGATATGTGAAGTCCGCTAATCCGCAGTGGGGTCGCGTGGTAGACTAATACCGATATACCTCTGCACAGAGGAGGCCTTTGCCCAGCAGTGAGACATGTACAGGCTTTTTTTGATACTTTTTACTTTTAGCTGTTTTTTTTAAAGAAAACGGTAAACGAGCTCGCAGTCCACCGTTTGTTAAGTGATAACCGCCGCCCATGGACATTTATAACGCCCTTTGCAAATCATTCAATAAAATGGGGTCCGGTTACCGCTCTTATTAGACGAAACGCAGAAGTATAACAATTCCGTTTCACGCCAATCTTCCTTGAAATCATGCTACTTCCTCAAACGGACTTGCCCATTTGTGCAACAGAAAAGGCTGATGCGTGGCCCAATCGCAGCAAAGAGACATTCGTTTTTGTTAATAACAATTCTATTTTTTTTAATAACGAAAAACGAAACAACCTTCAAACATCTCGCTCTGTATTCATTCTATAATTGATTTTCCTAAGTATTTCCGGAGGGTCCCCTAAGTATTTCCGGAGCCCAAGATCCAATACCAATGAAATTAATACGTATGAATTATTACAGTTACGTAGATTATTAGCATTTTATTTTTAAATTGTAGATGCTGTATCTTATGTTGGTAATCCTATGAATAAATAAATAAATATGGGACCACATGGTAATCACCAGCTTGCACACAAAAAAAAATCATCAAAGTCGGTTCGCTCAGGCGAATGTTCTGAGGTAACAAACATAAAAAAAAATACAGTCGAATTGACAACCTCCTCCGTTTTCGAAGTCGGTTGAAGATTATTCAAATAAATATCACGATTCCAACTTGTGACAGAGGTAGTAAAGTAATTCTTTCTACGAACTTGCCGTAGGATTCGAAGGTTAGATTGTAATAAAGATGCCACTAAACAATTACTGCACTTAAATAGTAAACATTTGCTTACTTATTTGATACTTTCGACAATATCATGATAGCGAAATTGAAATTTCCTGCTTGTCTAACGTTGGCAACAAAGGAACTCAGTAGAACTATATTCATGTCTTGAAGACACCGCACATTCTTTTGTAGAAACCATTTCTCTACTACATTGTAACTTATTTCAATATTCTAGACACACCTTAACTAAAATCATGCTAATGAAATTACTAATTTTAAGTGCTGTCTTATCACGTGCTCCGCAGTGAAGGATTAGTAACAAATAATATTATCGAAATAATAACAAGAAGATATTATTTCGGAGATATGTGAAGTCTCCCAATCGGCAGTGGTGGATGCCCTTAGTATAGAGAATGTTTTTGCCCAGCAGTGCAACTTTACTTTTACAAGTATATAGTCAGATGAACATCGGCCTTCGTCTTGATAGTTAGAAGGTCAATGCCATAACTCTCACCAAATAGGTCGCATAATACGGCCTTCGTTGGGGAACTGTTGTACAGTCGCCAATAGAATTTTAATTTGTAAGCCCTCGGATGTTGCATTTTTTCATGGGCGGCGGTAATCACTTACCATCAGGTGAGCCTCCTGCTCCGTTTGCCCCTTTTCTCCATAAAAAAAAATAAAAAAGATCCAGTTAATGTAAATAAAACTAATGGTTGACGTTCGGTCAAAATTCTTTCATTATTTGTTTAACTGTTTTATTCCCAAAACTTATTCAGTCAATCGACTGATTATTTAAGATGATGATATTATGATTAGTTTAAGATTCTTTGGTGACAATCTCTAGGTGCTTAAGATTGTTTCACATTCGCATACAGGTTGTAGACTAAAGCGATTATTTTAATTGGATCCATTTAAATGAAATACTAACAGAATAATCGATATTCGATCATTCCAATCTCCTACTATGAGTTAAAAACATCCCACGAGGCGTGACTCTCAAAACTTCTATTCCTTGACAATTGCAAGAGATGTTTACGGAATAATCTTTCTCGCTATTTTAAAGAGTTTCTTGACCAGTCAATTACGATCAGGTGAGATAATTGGAGACGTCCTGTCCGTATAATAATTATAACCAAGGTCGTATGTAGTCTAAGAGAAAATAGTTCAATGGAGATAATAAGATTCAATGTATTTCAGTGTCGGAATTTCGCGCTGTTGTGGAACGTTGGACAATTTTTTTTTGTGTCCGATGGTGGAATTCAGCCGCCGGGATCAATCCAAACAATTCCTCAGATAATAAAATTCAATGTATTTCAGTGTCGGAATTTTCAATTTTTTTTGTGTTAAAAATCTGCCTTAAGATATCACACAATTGGCACACACAGTCAAGGTTTGGCTCAAAGCCAGTAGACATTTTTGACGAGATTTTTTCGTGAAATTCGCAGATGTATAAATAAATTACCTTGTCATTGATCGCGTACTCGTGTAAAATATTAATTAAAGAAAGTAGATTTTTTTTAACATAGAGATAGTAAATCACCTGAAAGTACTGAAAAATTGTATATACGGCAAATACAAATTGTTACCAGCAGCAATTGATATAACGTCAAACTGACCGGCCTTAGAACAGAATTTCAGTTATGTCATTTTCCTGAACTGATCATACTGAATGTAACTTAATTTGGTGCATCTTTGTCCATTTCAATCTTGTTAACTGATTTGAAATTATAGCAATTGATCCCCGGGACAATTTAGATTAGCATTTATATTATTTAAATTAGTATTATTTTTTCATCCTAAGAAAACCATTATACTGTGCTTTCAATGATTCGATGATCGATGGATGAAGTGTTTAAATAACTATAACGTGAGTTGATGAGTCTACTACCTGACTATTGCCCATTTAATTTTAAATGCTAGTCTCTGCACTTGTATACGTTGATTTACACACATTAGATAATACTAAGCATTGCTAAAAATGCAATAAAGACATGTTAGATAAGAATTCGAAATTGTGTCGTGTCGGTTTTAAAATGTCAACGTCACTTAATATCAAGTGATCCGTCAGCTCGCTTTCTTTTGTTTTGTCTTGTCTTGTATTAAACTGGAATAATCAATTTATAACTAGTACCTGGAGGACCGAGCTATGCTCGGTTTTTTTTTTGGTAAATCATGTATTTTGGAAATAAAAAAAAAATAAAAAAAAATAAGTGTGTAAATGATCGTGATACGAACCGCGACCGTCTCTTTTGGGGCCGCCCGATTACCGACCGAGCTATTATAACATTTTTTTGCGGCGAAATTTACTGTTATATTCGAATGATATTTTTCATTCCCTGAAAACAGGTATAAAAGGACATTTTCTAAAAATGAAACCTAGCCAGATCGATTTTTCGGCCCCGAATCTACGCGCATACTAAATTTCATGAAAATCGCTGGAGCCGTTTCCGAGATTCCGATTATATATATACAAGAATTGCTCGTTTAAAGGATAAAGATTACCTAAATATATTTAACACTATATAGTATGTGTTATATCTTTATAATACGAAATGTTTTTACGGTACCAATATTGGTATAATCTCGTGCAGATATCTCAAAATACAAACGTCAAAACAAACGATAGCCACGTCTGTATTATGATGGCATCAATTAAATTGATTCTGTATGCGTCTGTACTTGTTTACAATAATTTAATACAATGACAGGTGGTGTTAATGTAATAAATAATTTTTATTACATTAGAATAAATATTCCGTGTTGTGTTAATAAAAATATTTATTGTAAAGTTACTCCTTGTTCACTTAACTCTGTAATAGGCTGAGCGAACCCATTAGTATGGGGTCTGCTACAGAATTATAGGCAACATCCGAAGCTGCTCAGCAGTGACTGTACCTCGCTACTACATTACTCGCAAATGTAAGAAAATAATATAATAAAATAATGTAACATCTAAATATCTATGCTCAAAAATCCATTGCGCAATCATTTGGAAGAAATTCAGAGGCCCACTTATGTTGAAGGGATTATAAAGGCTGCAGTTATGCTTCTATCTCTAGAATCCACTTGTAGAATCTCTAGAATCAACTTCGATGAAATTCCGAACATGACACGGATTTGGTTTTAGCAATAAACTATACACCGCTTTATTGTAGAAACGTATTTTTCATTATGTGAGAAAGTGGCAAACGAGCTGGCGGTTCACCTAATTTTAAGTGATAACCGCCGCCCATGGACATTTGCAACACCCCTAGGGTTGCAAATGCGTTGCCACCTTTATATAAAGTGGGCCCCGACTACCTCACTCACCAGACGAAATGCAGGAGTATAACACTTCTACTTTACGCCGGTCTTCTGTGAGGTAGTGGTACTTTTCGGACGGACCTGCCTATTCGTGTAACAGTGAACACGGTACTTTCGTCCGGTAAGTAAATAAAGTGACAAAAACCTGCAACATCTCCGGTGTTCATAAGTGACGGCTATCACTCCTCAACCGCCCGCACTGTTGCCATTTCTTTGGGAAATACAATTTAAAAAACCCGACTGAGTTTCTGTGTAATTTTTTATTTTGATATACCCAGTGTCACTCACAGTAAATACGAATCTAACTACACCTCTCAAACTAAAATCCATCAAGCCGTTCAGGCTGCAGAGCGTGCCAAACAATTATACATACATACTCTCGAAAAACATAACCCTCCTTCTGGCGCAGTCGAGTGTAAACAAGTGTAGCATTAATTATTCCACAAAATTCGACTAACCTACAATTGTGTTGTTCGGGCGCACTCGACGATAATCTAGTTAGGAAGCAATCCATTACTTAGTAACGTTACATTTATCTGAGTGGGCATTTGACGATGTTGGTTGGCCTTACGCTGCCTGCTTCAGGTTCGACCCCACACGGGATTTTGATGTTATAGATATGTTTTAGTTTTGAATAACATATTTTAGTTATATGTTACGAGTAGTAGTATAATAACACATGCTCACACCCACAACCCTTAAGGCGTGATAGATGTTAGCTAATCATGTACATGTCATGTAACTTTGTTGTTCTTTCGTATTTGACTAGCTATGTAACGTTAAATGTATATCATGTATTAATATATATCATAATTTCGACAACGTTACATAGCTATTGCCTAAGTGGTGTAGGACTAGGAACACAGGAATCGTAGTATATCGGCTCTTCTGCTGTTATCATATTTTATAGAAATCAAGAACAAGTTCGTATCATTAAATAACAATAAATACGCAATATGTTATGACGGGTAAAAAAATAAATAAAGTTTCAACAACGATTATGATTTGTCGTTTCTAATGAATCTAATTAATGTACACTTAACAAATACTAAATTAAAAACAATACAATACTAAACGTGATGTTTAAAAAAAATAGTGAAATGAAAATTAAATAACTGACTGCCCAATAGTCAATGCAAAATTATACTCAAATTGTATTCTAAGTAGTTTTGTATCACATTATGTAATACAAAACTATTAGAATATTGTACCTATATTTTATTTTTTATTTTTTTTTATGCGAAAAGTTGTCAAACGAGCAGACGGTTCACCTGATGTTAAGTGAATACCGCCGCCCATGGACATCTGCTACACTCGAGGGTTACAGATGCGTTGACAACCTTTTGAAAATTTGGCACTAACAATCTTCAAAAAAGTGCCAATATTTCAATAGATCAGTGATATCGTAGATGATAGATTTACTAAGATGCTCCGGATCTAAGTTTGTTCGTTTTGTTAAACTGTTCGAACGTTTTGACCTTACTTAACAAATCTAAACTAAAAAAAATGTTTTCTCTTTAAAAATACTTTTAATAACACAAGACGATGGTCATACCCGTGGTACAGAGCCATCTCCCGAAAAGCTCAGATCACTGTCTGTCAGACTAACTATTTAATTGTATTAGTTATGTTAACTGAACACTCGAACTGAGGTCTGAGTGAGTATAAAGTGTTGCGACAGTAGAATAACTTCTCTCGTCATTTTGAGGTGGCATATTCGCTACGAGGCTGTGTAAGTATTTGTATTCCAATCCGGTAGAAAGTGTTTGTAGAAAGCGGATAGGGAAAACAAAACAACTTATGTTTGACTTGATTTTAATTAGTAAAATGTATTTTTTTATTGTAATACATTACTTTTTCGCCATGAATCAAAAGAGATATGACTTACGCCCGATTTCCGAAACATCAATTCAAAGTGTTTAACTATGTTTTATATCCTTTTGGCAACTCAAATGACATTTGAGAAGCTATTTGACAGCTGATTAGTTAATTTCTACGATCAGCGTTTCAAAAACCGGGCGTTAGTCTTTGGACTTGAGCGCAACTTTGTAGTCTTTGGAACAGCTCTTAAATCCATCGTCGAAAAATAAAGTTATATAAATATTGATTTAATTTATATATATAGCATGGAATATATAAATTAAATCTATATTTATTATTTTTAAGTATATAATATAAAATATCGTATTTTTTTCTTCCTTTTGTATCAATTTTTTAAATAATAGCCTCACTAAGTAGGGTAACATTAGTGTTGTAATATCGATATACAAAAATTTATTGAGTTATTGACTTGTATTCGGAGCAATTATTATCTATGGTTGTTTATGGATCGCACAAATACTGCTGCGGAAGTCAAACCTGCCGGCGAAAAACATAAAAAACATAAACCTGCCCGAAGGCAACAGCTTAACAGCTGCATGCAGACTGAGTCATAAAATACAACCATAAAAACCAATTCAAATGCGCAAATACAGCCATAAAAAATGTTATGGAGGCGACTTAGCTAAAACATGTTTCTGGCATTGTGGGCGTTAGGTAGGCCAAAAATACGATATAAATAATCATTTATAACAAGGCCATAGTTACCTAAAAACAGATGTGAGTGACACTATATTAGTATAAAATGAAGTATTCTGTATTTAATTTTTAATTTGAGCACTAGTCTCTGCAATTAAGATGAAACTTAAAATGTGTAGATTATTTTGTCGAATAATTTTTCACCGATGGTAGGATTCGAACGCGTCCAAACGCTCTAGGCACTAAACCAAGATATCTAGCTTCTAATATAACATAATATCAACTGCTTAGCTTAGTGGCTAAGCGGCTCTGGACGCTTTATCTAGAAGACACAGATTGTAAAATTATTTTGTTCACGCACTAGCATTTAATTAGTAAAAGGTATTTTGTTTAATATTGATGTATCATTTATTCTGCCCTCTGTACAGAGGAAGCCTTTGCCCAGCAGTGGGACCTGTATGCACGCATCACGAATCTGCACGAATCAAAGGGGATTTGACTGTAGCACGTCGATGGGATTAGGCGTCTTAACTCCATCATCATAAATCTAAACCCCCTACAAAGTGGAAGAGCCACCACCAGTTTCTTATGATATTCTGAATACAACTTAAGCTTATAATCTGTATTAACACACGTTTCGTCCCTTTCTCCACATCTTCCGTTAATAGAGACGCATATTTAATAGTGTTACCAACGAAATTTTCGCAGGCGTCATTGGAAGTGAGACAAGTGGGCCGACGCGCCGTCAGTCAGCTGGCAGGCCGAGGGATGGGCGACGAGGTCGTCATCTTACACTACAATGACGTGTACAACATCGAACAGACCACGAGTGAGTTTGACACTGTTAAGATTGACAATGAATATATCGGTCTGGCAATTGTATCATCCTGTATATCAATACAGGATGATTTCATAGACGACGGGCATATTAACAGAGCATATGCAGAATTTGATTCTAAATCTGAATCTGGTACGTACTTGTGACCTCTTTAACTTTTTCAAACATTATGGGCACCTAAAGAAATTCCTCCCTTACCGTCACAATACAATAGCACACCTGTTCGCTAAACGCATAATTACTAAACCGCTTATCAATAGGGTGACCCTCTTAACGGGATAAACAAACAATGTTTGAATTGATATTGTTCTGGTTATTTCTTGTCAAATTAAAATATTTATATTTTTTTGAATTATGGAATGCTCCATTAACATTATTTCAAAGTATGTACTTCGACTAAAAATCACCCTGTCAGAGAAACTTAGATACTATTAATTATCTCTTTCTACCTCGCACACTTGTAGCTTTAGCCGATATGAATTGTTTCTACTCGCTTTATTTAAAAAAAAAAACATCTGTAGTACGCACTGCATTATATTAACCCTTACAGGACCATAAGATGTCCAAGACTAAATATGCCGATACAACACAATATTTTAGCTATTGTGGGTATAAAGTAAGAGGATATCTCCAGAAAAATATAGAAGGATGTATAGGTTTCCTATAATTTCATGGGAAATATTTTTCCCTATGGACCATAAAAGTAAATAAATAAAGAGTAAGGTTTATTTTATCGGTATTTTATTTATTGCTTTGTAATACAAAAAACACAGTAAAAATTATCAGAAAAGTAAAATAAATAGTTAGTTATGGTATTCTACGAAACAATTTCGTTTACTTGTGAAGCACAAGTGTTCATTGCACATAACACATTTATTATGTCTCCTATTTTCTATACGTCGTTTTGCACAGTTTACGTATCGCTTCAGTTTATTTCCAATGCGGAGCTTTTCAGAGGAGACTTAAGTGATTCTTGTTTGCTGTCTACATGTAAAATATCGGAATACTTGGCGTCGAAATCTCGAGCAATGCCCAGTTCCGGGTTAATTGGAAAGTAAGACCACATTGGCTTCAAAGAAGGTAGGTTCGCTCAGTAAGGCGAGACATCACGTCGGCGCAACGCCTAAACCTTTATAAGGCGCAAATTCGGCCCCACATGGAGTACTGTTGTCACCTCTGGGCGGGAGCCGCCTATTACCAACTTCTTCCATTTGACCGCATCCAACGTAGGGCAGCTTGGGTTATCGACGATCAAAGTCTTTCCGATCGACTTCATACTTTGGTTCTGCGTAGACATGTTGGATCACTCTGCATCTTCTACCACACCTATCACGGGGAGTGTTCCGAAGAATTGTTTGGATTGATTCTGGCGGCTGAATTTCACCATCGGACAAAAACCAAAAATTTCATCCACACCACCTCGATTTCCAGCGTTCCTCAACAGCGAGATTTTCAAGGCATTTCCTGCCTCGTACAACCGCTCTGTGGAACCAGCTGCCGCCGGTGTGTCAAAAAGAGAGCATACTCTTTCCTAAAAGGCTTGCAACACATTTGTAAACCCTCTAGTGTTGCAGGTGTCCATGGGCGGCGGTGATCACTTACCATCAGGTGAGCCTCCTGCTCTTTTGCCGCTTTCTTCCCATAAAAAAAATATTAGACCTCGTGCTACATGTTGATGATACTTCTTGAACAGAATCTTCAATTTCAACAACATCGGTTCATCTTGAGCTATGAACTGCTGGTCTTCTTCGTCTAACTGTAGTCTGTAGTAAGTTATCTTCTCCGTCACTACTATCGCCGTAAGCAATAGTTCTTCATCTTGAATATGAAATTCTCTGCACTTTTAGTCTTTTCTGTAAAAAACCATGACGGTAAACTGTATAAAATACAAGAAAATACAAGAAATCCCTACATTATCATAAAGCACTACATATAATAATAATACAACGAATACACCAGATATGGACCAGAGGGAAAAATATTTCCCTTTAGATGATTTGCAATTTTCAGGTACTTGTGCTAATGTTCTGCAGTTTACTGTATTATTACATAAAATTATACTTACCAAATAATGTAAAACACGTGACAAAATAAAGTTATTTTATTTGCTCAAGTCCAAAACACTTCCTAGATATTATTAATTCAGCCCGCGAATGTTTTGGTTTTGGCGCAATAAAGTTTGACAGTTATTTTTTTGTTTATTCATTCAGAAACACATTTGCCGCCTTGGACATACGTTTTACTTTGACATTTAGTAAAAAAAATATCAATTCAATAATAATTGAACAATCGATAATCATTTTTGTAGAAGGGAAAAATATTTCCCTTGGGCGTGAAAGGGTTAACTGTGACCACTTAGGCTAATACGAATCCAAATAATTTCATAAGGTTTCTCAATGTACTTGGCCCGTACCAGAATGGAACCCGATATCCGCTAACCAAATCGTATTCATAAAAGCTCCTTTTAATTTATTGATTTTCTCTAGTATTCTATTTTTAATTTTAATCGTTATGCCGATTTATTACTTAAGTTACTTAATATTGTCATTTGCACCGTGTCATTATGTCCCTGTAACTAGTTCCGTCACTGGCTTGTGTAGTGTATGTGTATGTAGTGTATGCACCAACTATTTCTTTCTCTTTCAGTCCCAATTGTTTATCTCCCTTTCAGACACTGAACCGGTCGGCGGGGCCCTTAGGTTCAGCACGGCAGTTAAGTCGCTCCAGCATCTCAACCCACTGGTGCTGTTTAGCGGAGATGCCTTCTCACCCAGCATGTGTACGTTTCTGTCTACCCTCCTTTTGATGCAATATTCTTTTTACTATTGTCACTACCAGATTGCGGCACCGCTAACCTGTTTTCCAAGTCCTGAAACCTATTCCTGTTAAGAAAAGTAATAATATACAGCGTGTCCCGTAACACTGTCTCAAGCAAGTTTTTTTTTTTTTTTTCAAAAACTGGCTAATACTTGACTGCCATCCCACCTGATGGTAAGTGGCGCTGCAGGCGTTGATGGTAAGCGCTAGCTAGCTCAGTAGAAACCTATTCCACAATAGAAGTACGAAGCGCTTTTCTTTAAAAGTTTCTTTTTTTCTCTGAACAGTATATGTATTCGAGTATTGACAATTTATTTTTATTACAATCAAGATGAAATAATCAAATAACACATACTCATGTAAGTTGCATAATTTAACTTACCGTGACACAGTCAGTCATAAAGTATGCCAACTGGAATCACGAACGCACCTTCAATATTTCAGTGAGCACATTCACGAAGGGGGAGCAGATGGTGCCCGTTCTGAACGAAGTGGGCACCCACTGCGCGGTGTTCGGAAATCATGATTTCGGTGAGCCAGCTAACTCTCAGTAATCTAAAAACCCCAGTCTTAATAATAAAATATGAACATAAAACTCGAAATAACAACAAAAAAAAATATTTCGAAGATATGTGAACTTCGCCAATCCGCAGTGGCGCCGCTTGGTGGACTATGCCCTGATACCCTCTGTAAAAACGAGGAGGCCTTTGCCTAGCAGTGGGATATGTATAGGCTGTTACTTTACTTTTACTTTTTTATAGTCATAAAACCTTACTCCGTTCGCTGGAATCCGTCAGTACGATTTGAGGCCTGTTCGACTCGCGGAATGAGACAGAAGAATTGTAGGGACTTGCTTCCATTCCTGCATACCGTCTAGTATCCAACTATTTGACATAATAATATGTATACCCCACATGATATAAAAAAATGTGTGTACTAAAAGAAAAATAAATACTATAAAGAAAAATAACTAAAAATGTTATCCCCTGTGCCAGTACTTGCTTGTGGGAAATATAAAATGCAATGGATAACGGTAAATTAAATTACTTGGAACTATAAGCAAAACATTAAAATTTGTAGAAAAAGTACGGAACGTTTGTTGTCGCTGCTATGGGAATCGAACCATGTTTTTTTTTTTCATTCATCGAGTTAACCCACACCTTTATTCGAAAATTAATTTCTTTTTAGTCCACCCAAAGTTTGTCTGAAAGAAATTTATTTTAGCAATAAGTCCGCCCATTGTACCCATCACTTATCAGTTTTTGATTTTTGTTTGTTTTATTACCCAATCGATGCTTCCCGTGACTACGTCCGCGTAGAATAGGCTGAAGGCGTAACATTCAGACAGAAAGACAGATATACATAAAAATATGTACATAAATTATAGCCTATGTCTTATTCTGATGTATAAGCTATATTATTGTGAAGTTTCATTAAAATCCATTCAGTAGTATTTGCGTGAAAGAGTAACAAACATCCATCCATACATACGAACTTTCGCGTTTATAAAATTAGTAAGGGAGTAAGGATGTGCAATAAAGTATATTCATTCATTAATTCATTCATTCATTCATCGATTTACTCGTTGGCTTGCGTAGTTTTTATTTTTACTTACCTCATCAGACGAACGATAACCACTGTCTATATGAATGAAAGGTTCAAACAAAAACAATTTAATTTTCACTATACTGTAGCTATTTTTTGCATGTTCACTGTAGCAGCCGTCCGAGTTGCCTCGAAGTGCGGGCCGGACTGAAAACCGGTGCCGGGATCAGAACTAGTTACTGTATCTCGACTTTTACCCGAGTCCCGTCCGTTTCACGGTCTTACGCTGCTACGCAGACCGTCACTTACTGCTGTTATTTTGTTTGCTTATTTTTACGTCTACATTTATTTTAAGTTTCTGTGTAGTTAAGGCCCATTTACACGATGCCATTTTCTTGAACATACAAGAGCAATAATTGAATGCAATAAATGGCGCGCAATAATTGTTTAGACCATTTCTTGTTTAGACCATGCAACTAATTTATTGCTTCAATTTAATTGTATACAACAGGCAAGAAACTGGCACCGTGTAAATGGGCCTTTAGTTACATTATTATTTTCAAGTTTTGTATGTATTCATTTGTTTTTAGACCGTGAATAAACGTTTCTTCTTCTTCTTCTAATAACCGCCCCGTTCGATTCCGGACAGACTTCGGATTGGACGTGCTCTCCGGTCTGGTTGCGCAGTGCAGCTTCCCCTGGCTCATGTCGAACGTGATCGACAACGAGACGGGACGCCCCCTGGGTGATGGGAAGATCACGCACGCCCTCCTCTGCAACGGCCACCGGATAGGTCTCATCGGCCTTGTGGAACAGGTGAGCTCCTCTTATATTTTTGAGTTTTTCTTCATTTTTTAGGGTTTCGTACCCAAAGGGTAAAAGGGGACCCTATGACTAAGACTCCGATGTCTGTCTGTCTGTCCGCCTGTCACCAGGCTGTATCTGAACCGTGATACTTAGACAGTTGATATTTTCACAGATTATGTATTTCTGCTGCAGCTATAACAACAAAAACTAAACACTAACAGTATAAATGAAACTAATTTTACGGATTTATCGCGTTTATTTTTTTTTTCATGGTACGCAACGCTGCAAAGGGTTCGAAACGTCGGGAACTAAAATTAAAAATAACCGCTATAAATCCGTAAAATTAGTTTCATTTATAATGTGTAATCGCGTAAATACAAGAAATTATTATGTAAACACTAACAGAATAAAAAAATATTTAAGTGCAAGTATAAATAAAAATTGTTAATATGTCCCATACAGACATGATTTTTTTGCCGTTTTTATAAATAATGGTACGGAACCCTTGGTGCGCGCGTCCTGCTCGGACTTGGCCGGTTTTCATTATTTCTATTCTGCACTCAAGATGATACTTTAAGTATTAATTTTTTAGATAAACGAACAATAAGTTTCGGCGTTGCGGGCAAAAATTAATCTTAAAAAATTATATTCGATTATTATCAAATCTTTATTGTTTTCTATCCAATATCTTTACTGTTACAGGAGTGGCTCGACACGTTAGCGACCATCAACCCTGAGGAAGTCACCTTCATAGATTTCCTCCAAGCCGGGACCAAGTTAGCCTGCCAGCTAAAACAAGAGGTTAACATAATATATAAATATACTCATTATAGTCTTAATATATAGTATTTTTTTAAAAAGTTTCACAACAAAATATTCTCAACTTTCAGATGTAAACTCTACTGTAGAAACCACAAAAGTTATTATCGTTTTATTTGTAGAAATTATAAATTGTTTTTCCCCTACTCTATTTTGTTCTTATTTTTTTTTGGCAACAGTTTAGTTCAAATACCTCAATCTACAATTTTTATAAGCGCTATGTGTTCAGTATATATATCTATATATATATCTGTATTATTTTCCTCCACCTCAACTCTGTGCATGTAATGTGCTTTTACTATGTGATATATTATACATACGATATTTTACATACGATATATTTTTGCTTAAGATATTTTTTTGTGTTTTTTCCTGTACACAAAAACTAAATTGTTAATATAATAAGCAATGCAGACAAAGTCACGGGTAACAGCTAGTTTTTTTTTTTTTTTTTTAAAAATATTGCCCTTACTTTAGGATAACATTATCCTGTGTTGTAAGGACGTTTATACAAACATAAATTGCACGAGGACAAACACCCAGATGCGAAACAACTATCTGCGGGTCGCACAAACAGTAGTCCCGTGTGGGAATCGAACCCACGAACCCCGACGCCGAAGGCAGTAACTTGGCGACTGCGCCACGGAGTCATCATCGGGTTAAACCCTCCTTTCATTTGTAGGGATGCGAGTATGTCATCGCTCTTACACATATGAGAACCCCAAACGACATTAAACTGGCAGAGGGCTGTACAGAGATCGACCTTATATTAGGAGGCCATGACCACGTCTACGAAGTGCTGGAGGTAAACCATTGTACTATATAATAATAATATTTGTTTGAATATCTTTTTTTTAAATTTTAATGAATTTATTTGTTAAAAATTTTATTGCATAAAGTATAGTAAATGACAACTATTTTATATTTATTTTTATAGTCAATTGTATACATGAAAAATGTTTCGAAGCAAGCAATAATATAAAATAAAGATACGCACACAAATAGAACTTGCCTCTTGTAGTGTTAACCGGAACAATATCAATGCAGATAAACAACAAATACATAGTGAAGAGCGGCACAGACTTCAGGCAGTTCTCCAAGATCAGCATCACCTTTGGCCCCGAGGGTCCACAGGTGGCGATAGCAGCTGTGGACGTGACCAGCTCTTTCGCAGAGGACCCACTCCTCAAGGCCAAGGTTGAGAAGTACTCCGGTAAATCCAATCTCAATAGACCCTATTGTACCATCTTGTAATATATAAAATTCTCGTGTCACTGTTTTTGTAATTGAACTCCTCCGAAACGGCTCGACCAATTTTCGTGAAATTTTGTGTGCATACAAATGTTAAGGGTGGTCCACCCTAAACAGTTTTTTCTACCCTAAAAATTTCTATGGCAGAACAACGTTTGCCGGGACACCTAGTCTTTATACGTGAATATAATTCTTCTGTATGTGTCTATGTCACTGAACTCCTCCTAAACGGCTGGACCGATTTAAATGAAATTTTTTGTGTGTCTTCAGGTCGATTCGAGAATTGTTTAGATTCACAATTTTTTTTTTATGTTGTCACATTTAAGTCGTGTGTAAAACGGTCTGCTAGTTCCTATAAATAATGGTGATGTGATATTAGTAAAGGGTTTATAAGTTAAATTGAAAGGAAGACATGCAAAAAATTTATCGTTTACTAGTCATGCAAAAGGTAAAATTACTGTTGGTACTTTCTGGAAGGTAATAAATAGCTTACATAATGGGGAAACGAATATAAATTAAAATGAAAAACGTTGTATTCTAATATGAGTTTAAAATAATTCTGCGTACTGACACTTACATTAAGCGCCCACCTATCTTAAGACGACCTTATTGGCCTAGAAGGTGAAACAAAACACAGAAAGGTCGCATCTGCAACCCTAAGGTTATTGCAAATGTCAAGTGGTGGCCGTTATCCGCCCTGAACCGCCAGCTCTTAAGCTTCCTTCTCAAAATGAAAACTTACTACCTGCCAAAATTACCACTGGGCCGTACATTTCAGCCATGATAGAGGGCAAGATGGACGAGGTCCTGGGCAAGTTCTGCGTCCCTCTAGAGGGGAGGTTCAGCTGCATCAGGCGCGAGGAGTGCAACCTCGGCAACTGGGTGTGCGACGTTCTGCTAGCCGCCACTGGGGCCGATCTGGTCATCCTGAACTCCGGCACGTTCCGCTCCGACCAGGTGAGACGCTGCAAACTTACGCCCAGCTCCTGATGAACACTGATCATAGTACATGTCAACTAATCAGCACTCAAATGGATTCTCAAGTGTTATTACAGATGCCAAAAGGATGGTTAAACTCTCCAAATTGATCAGAAATATCTTCTGCAATTATGGCAACTCATAACATAACTAAGCGGTTCTCTCTTTCTTTCCGTATTCAGGTGATAGTAGGAGAGCCCTGTGAATAATTCAAACGTAACTTAATAGCTCTCAGTCTTTCTATCTTCAGGTGATAGACATCATCATCATGGGATAGACCAAGAACGCTGAAAAAGGTTCGAATCGTCGGGAATTTGAAAATCTAATTATCATGTAATACCACGTTGGTCAATAGATAGATAGATAATATAATCTAATTCCATAAAATTCAACTTTATAATTTAGTTTCTCCTACTTCAACTATGTTTTTATTTTTTAATTAATTTGGTCCACAAATGATATATTTATGATTTAATGCTCCACATACATAAAACACAGACTTAAAAGATTTAAAATATTGCCACACATTATGTGTAGCTTAATTGATATTCTCTATATATGTGCATATTTCAAAACAACCATCATCTTTGTTTGACTTTCAGGTGCATCCAGCTGGAGATTTCACTCTACGGGACCTCTCTTCCATCATACCGATGAGGGACCCACTGGTAGTGGTGGAGGCCACCGGTGCGGTTATTCTGCAGGTTTTGGAGAACTCCGTCAGCAAATACCCCAGCTTGGAGGGGAGGTTTCCTCAGGTGTTGTGTTTTATTCAAATATCGGTGCTTCTAAAATCAATAATAAACACTTGATGTCATTACTTTATTCTTGTATTCAAAATCAAATATCTTTATGCAATATAGAAGCATTACACTTACTTATTGATTGTCAAAACACTACCACAGGTTGGAAAAGGAAACCACTGACCCGAGGAAAACCGGAAAAAGTAACTCAGTGGGACATTTTTGTTTACCATTAGTGACAAGAAACATGTATTGTAAACATGTTAATTAATAAATAAGTATTAAAGTCCATGAAAGAGCCTGGAGTGTATTATTAAAATATAACAGCTTTTAATGCACAAATGTTCCTTTACATTTGTTTTTGAATACAGCAATTAATACATTGTGAACATTTTCTGCGATTTTATGTATGTAACCCTAGTGGGTTGTTGTATCTATCAATTTTAAGGTCATATTTAAAGGACACTTGGCATTGGCAGTGCAACACCCGTACGGTTACGGATGCGTTGTCACCTTTTGGATAAGATAAGGCCTAATCGGAAATATAACGCTTCCACTCCACGCCGGCCCTCTGTGATCTCGTGTCGCTCACCCGGACCTGCCCCCCCCCCCCCCCCCTGCAGCAGAGGGAGCTGCTGCACCGGTGACCTTCACATGACCTTCGCCCCGACGACCTTCAGGCGACCCTGGTCCCCAGGTGGCGGGCATCTCGTTCGCGTTCGACCCCAGCAGGGCGGCGGGCGAGCGCGTGGCCGAGGCGGCGGTGAAGGTGGGCGACGAGTACCTGCAGCGCGGGCAGCGGTACCGGCTGGCGGTGAAGCAGTACCTGCACGCGGGCAACGACGGCTTCACCATGCTGCCCGGCTGCCCCGTGCTGGTGAGGGGCGACGCCGCGGCCGTTTTGAACCGCTTGGTTTCTTCTCTCCCTCTTCTCTGGACCACCCAAAGGTTGAATGGTGGATAATGCCGATGGCATTAAGTCCGCCTCTGTACGTATTTTGTGTGCATAAAGTATAAATAAATAAACCGTTTGGTTTATTTTATTGCCTTTAAAAAATGATTACGAATGGCGAACTTACACGGCGTTCTCTAGTCGACCTGGTGAGGAACAATTACTCTCCGAATGTTTTGATTTTTTTTTTTATTTATTCTTTATTGCAATTGTTATTAAAAGAAAGGATTACAAAGGGCGAACTTGATGCCTTTCGGCATTCTCTGTCGGTCGATTCAGCGGCTCCCCTTTCCGAACCGGTGGTAGTATTTTCACTATCAAATAAGTGAGTGTAATGCTCCTATGTTGAATGAAGATTGTTGAAACACCATGCTGTGTAATTAACCAACAATTAATATGATAACAGTGTTATTGTTAAATTTGCACTATTGCCCAGGTGTCGGAGGACATGTGCCCCGAAGTGGGTATGGCCGTGCAGAACCACTTCGCTGCGATCGCGGTGAGGACTGGACGGGCGAGGCCCTCCAAGCACCGGCAGTCGCTGGTCACGCTGAGCCGCAGGTGTGTTTGTCTTTAGGGTTCCACACCCAAAGAGTAGAACGGGACCATTTGTTTTTAGGGTTCCGTGCCCGAGGGGTAAAAATTTCTATCTCTATTTGGCTGTTTGTTCGCTTTAGAGTTCTCACTTTCCCACCGGAATCATTTTTGGTCCATGTATTTGTTGTTACTTAAACGTTATTTTCTGTCAAAATAAAATATTTTTTGTAAAATTGTTAATACATCCCAACAACATACAACACTAAATTAGTCAGTAGGCATGATGACAAATTTTTAAGAGTCGCCGTCCACGAGGCACTTGCTAGAAATTGGTATTTTTACTAAGACTCCACTGTCTGTATGTCTGTCACCAGGCTGTTATCTCATGAACCGCGATACTCGTAGTTAGACAGTTGAAAATGTTCACAGATGATGTGCTTCCGTTGCCACGATAACAACAAATACTAAAGAACAGAAATAAAAAATATTTAAGTGGGTCTCCCATACAACAGACAAGATTTTTTTTGCTGTTTTTATGGATAATGGTACGGAATACATCGTGCGCGAGTTCGGCTCGTACTTGGCAGGGTTTTTTTTAAACAACACATGTTTTACACAACGTTCTCTAGTCCCGCACTAAGCAAAGCTTGTACTATGGGTGCTAAAACTGATAAGAATACTTAAACATGCTTTTACTTCATACATAGATATATAGATATTATACATATATAAACACCCAGACACTGGAAAAACACTATCGAAACCTTACCCTCTGGCGTAACGGAAAAGTTCGCTACGCCTTACGCCAATGGGCTCGATGAACATGTTTTTGTTACGAAAATAAATCAGACCTCAAGTAGTTTTAAATGCACGGCTTGTTCACCTTTCGTATCGGAACTCTACTAACTGACGCCTTAACTGCTTAACTACTCCAAACTACAATTGTCTATGACCCACGACAAACATTCGCTAGCTAGCGATAATTATCTATGGTCCTAATCCAACGACACAATTTCCTCCGCAGACACAGCTTAGTGAAGATGTTGGATGGGAGCGAGCTGGACGGTCCACCGCCTCTGAGGAGGGCGTCTTCAGCTGCAGTGGAACCTACAACTCACCACCACAGGTGGCACCGTTAACGATTTTATGTTAATAATAGATATGTATATAATATATAGGTACATCCCTCTATAAAGTAACAGCCTATAAATGTCCCATTGCTGGGCAAAGGCCTCTGTACAGAGGGTATCAGGGCATAGTCCACCGCGCGGCCTCACTGCGGATTGGCGGACTTGACATATCTTCGAAATTTTTTTTTGTTATTATTTCGAAAATATGCAGGTTTCCTCACGATGTTTTCCTTCGCCGCTTAGCACGTGATAAGCCGGCACTTAAAATTAACAATTTCATTGGTGCCGGCACCGGGGATCGAACTCGGGTTGCTCGAGTAAATAGAATTAAATGCGAGCGCCGGGCACTGACCTATCACGGCTGTTATACCTTTATTAAGTTTCACTAATTGTTAATAGTTATTAGTATTTTTTTTTTTTATTAGATATTTATTCATTCACACTTATCAAAATCGCGATAGACCGCTTTCATTCAAGATAGTCGCTCGCTTTTAATTCAACATCATACAGGAACGACTAATTCCAATCAGTGCTGCAAAATGTAAAAAAATATTTCCCATCTCCTTTCTCGAAAGCATCGATATTTATTATCTGTGCAATCTTTTCTTTTTCCCAAATATTTATGGTCTGTGCAAAATCGTGTACAGGTTGACGCGACGCGCGTCCCTCGACGACCTTGAGCAGAACGCGTGCGATTTGGCGCCAAAAGTGGAGAACAGGATCATCGTATTGGACAAGCCCGAGGTGGGTTGCCTGCTATTTATTTTGAAAACACAAAATTTTGTATATACAGCGTGTCTTTACAATCGCGACAATAAATGAACACACATATAGGGGATAACTTTTAAAAGTTGTATTATACGTTTACATTCTTAAAACATCAATATTTACAGAGTTATAAAATTTTCCAAAACAAAAAATTTTTGAACAGCCTTACGTATAAAACTGTAACGTAAAGTTCATTTGTAAAGGTCACAAAGTATATGAATGGGTTGAATGAATAAAAGAGACAAAACATACTATAGAAGGAGAGGCTTGCAATGCGACGCTGTGACGTGAGTTGTGTAGGATGTTACAAATTTTGTTTCTTTTTTACTTAATTAGTTTGTTTGAAAAAAATTTTTTTTTAATTATGGATTTTGTTTAACGTTAATATTTTTTAATCATTATTGGCAAGTAGCGTTAAACGTGTGTTCATTTATTGTCGCGATGGTAACGACACGCTGTATAGAGATATATATAGCACGACGACATTTAGAAAGGGACAATCGGTGAATTTCGGTTTCCTAGAGCGTCATCACTGTCGCAAGAAGCACGATAATAGTCCAGAAAGTAGTGTGTGACAAAGATAACGTAACCGTCAGAATCTTGGTGAGAAGGTGGTCATTGAGCGGTTCAACTGATGTTAAGCGCCCATGGGCATTTGCACACACACACACACACACACACACACACACACACACACACACACACACACACACACACACACACACACACCACACACACACACACACACACACACACACACACACACACACACACACACACACATAAATGAGTACGTAATAAAATGTGTGTAATTGGAATTTTCCAGAAACTGCCAGCCCTTTTGGCGGAGAGGGCGCGTTGGGAGTCGGACGCGGTGATTAAAGAAGTCGACGAAAACTCACCGTAGAGTCTCAATGAACAAAAGCCTTTCAGTTGAGTTTAATGATAACGCAATTTCGATCTTACGCCATAGTCGCAAGGTTTGATTTTGCCCAAACTACTTATTGAGTTTACTACGAACATCATCATGAGGAAATCTTATCTCGATTATTTATTTCAATCACTGAGATTTTTAAAATACTTTTAGACATGACTATTATAAAAAAATCAAGGGACGTTGGACTAAAACAACTTTTTTCTCTATTAATATCAGCGATTCCAATGTTGATTTTTATCTATGCTGATTTTATTGTATCTTTGCTGATGTTGGTTTAACCATTCTAATTTTACGATACAATTGTTATTTAATTATTTTTTTAATTGGAAGAATCTTAAAGAAAATACTAAATCAATACAGAATTGACAATATCTCCGATTTATCCGTGTTTCAAGCGATATATTGAATATATCTTTCCAAAGTTTATTTTTATTAGTTATTAAAAATAACGTTATTCGTTGTAGTTAATCGTCTATACTAGATAACGCTATTCCGTTTAACTGTTAAAACATTTCTTCTATTAAATATTTAGAATACGCCAACTTTCAAGCGTTTCGTGTAATTTGAAACGCTATTTGTAAAGGAATAAAGTTTTAAATAGCTTGAATTTAGATTAATCGTCCGATCGGTTAAGTAGATCATCTACCTCATAACAGTATTGCTTACGTGTTAGTGGTTGTATTAAATTGGCTTTAAACTAGTCTTCCTTAATGTCGGAGGGAGAAAGCTGATCAATATGATCAAACCTCTCGCTCGTGTGGTCGTGAGACTACGCTAACTGTATTCAACGGTCGTTTTTATCGTTTGTCCCTTTCGCACTAACGCATTCTGTACTACCCATCTCGCTTGCACTAAAAGCTGTATAGATTTACACTCAGTTTCCGAAAGCGCAATCAATTTTAATTTACGATAAATCTCTTGTCAATCGTTGTTTAACGTGATCTGAGTTGCTAGAACGTCTTAAACAACATTGATTTTGATTTGCAATTAGTCACTGATTAACGGACACTCAACAGAAAATCGAGTTTCTGAAAGCGTTTTTCGGTGGTTAACGAGCTGTCAAAAGTTTTATTAAGTAATCTGTCAATTTGGGCGATCAATCGTTGGTTAAAAATGTTATTTATCAAAAATCTTAGTTTTTATTAAAAATAAACATAATTCCTTAATACGTTATTAGGACATTAATGTGTTCTATTACCTATTTATTATTTATTATTATCCGAACATATCATGTGATTAGAAAAAATACAAAATGCAATTCAAAAGTTAATAAATAATATGGATTCTTCCTTTTTATAATACTTACTTGTTAATTATGGATAAAAGTTCATTTTTTTCACGTTCTGTAAAGTTTTTTTTTTTGACATTTTGCATTACTTATATAAATTAAATTTTATTATAGCTCGGATTTTTACGTTGGCAATCACACGGTGACAGGACGTTAGTTTAAGTTTTGTTTAAAAAGAGACAGCTATACAATAGAAAGAGTTAGTTGAAGTAAATCATTCATTTCATTCATTGGTTTATACAGTGATCAGCAAATTTTTCTTAAACATACCTTCCAGAAACCCAAGGCAGTTTAACAAGAGATTAACAGCTGATCATTTTTGACATAGTGTTATGTGATTGCTGCTTTGATTGGCCTTTCGGAAACTGGGCATTAGACAGTTAATTGTGCAGAGCTTATTTTTTTTTCCAAAGTGACAAGTGATGAGCTTGTCGTACACTGCTGCGACGAGAATCTCGATTAAGGCCTTTTCAAAGTTTAGATGTTCGGACCAATATTTCGGTTTGTGAAATATATTCGATTATCTGTTTTTCGCTCACAACTACCGACTATTAAAAATAGATTAAATTTAATATGATAGTTTTCTCAAAAATGTTGTGATACTATACTCTAGTTTTTTGCCCAACCCGTTTTGGGTTAAAGTTTTAATTTTATTCCTCGACTTATAAAATCGATTTTTGAAAAATCGATTAATTATGATTGTTGAACGATCGCTTAAATCTTATCTGTGACATTGTAATCTGCTGTTTTTGGATATGTTTTATTGAATGTCTCATGCATCTATGTGATATATTTAGTTACATTTGACTACAAAGCGAGAAAGACACAATTTTCGATGACAGACGAAATTATTCAAATAACGCAAATACTCGACTTTTACGAAATATCATTCAGTCTCAAACAAAAAATCGGCCTAAATAATTCATAATTAATTACAGTTCCATCTGTCGTTCATTTAAATAGATATTCAAAGCCAATTCTCCAGTGGAACTTTATAATTTTTCTGACATAACTGCCCCAGTTAATTTCTCACTGTGTTCTCGTACGACTAACGCCCGGTTTTGAAACATTGATTAACTAATCAGCTGTCAAATGGCTTTGATGAATTATTAGTGTTTCAGAAACCGAGCGTGATAATGTTATAAGATAGGCTTTTTTAAATCCCTTAGGCGTTCAAATAAATTCGGTACTCGCGTCGTTTCCGGATGTTCAAACGAATGCTTACAGTGCCTTCACCAAATATTGTTAATAGCTTCTACAATTTATTTGCGAGTAGTTTGTACAAAAGCTGTATAGCTAACTCAGCTTAGCTTCTGTTGGAAAGCACGCCTTATTTTATGAGCAATAAGATTGTTTCTAGTGTGTTAGAACTATATACTGCCACGTTGTGTTTTTGCTAAATATATTCTACGGACGTTATAATTTTACTGGCATGCAAAAGATTTTGCCTGTACTGTTTTAAAATATAGGGTTTAATGAAATACTTATATAATATTTTAAAACAATTCACAGTTGAAGATGTAGAGATTTAAGCGCGAAGGTTTTTATTATGTTTTGTTTGTTCATTTTACGACGTTTATTTCTAATATGTTGCTGTCAAAAGACAAGAATGGTCATGTTACTTTATTAATTCTTAACAATCTTTAATCCAATTCAACGCCGTAGCTTGTGATATTTTTTTCGTTTCGTACTTTTTATTTTGATATTTTGTCTATTGAGAAATGATGGGTAGTGTTTTAGGTGAGCTTAGTGATAAGAAAAACAAGTTTTATGCAGAAGCACCATTGCGAGGAACACTCGTGGGGCAGCAAGTGATGTAGAATATATATTGTTTGTTTGTGTGTAATATTAACAGTATTTATACGGAGATTTAGCGGATACAAAAGAAACATTATTCGACATATTCTAATATAAAACTTTTAATATTAAACACGTTAAATATAGAGAACAGAAACGTTACCATCCATTTTTTCTACAAAATTAGAGTACTTTTACCACGAAACACCAATAACAAAAGACTATAGTTTAAACTATAAGATCAATAATTAGTAGTTATAACGCGTTTAATACGTAAATGATAGTTTAATTGAAACATATTAATTTTATGAAGAATTTTAAACCACGAGTGTTTTGAAACGAGTTACCAAAAGTTTTATACAAATGCACGCCATTGCAAATATTTTAGCGTACATTCTTATGCTAGTTGTACCGTGAGATTTTGTGATATATTTTAATGGAACCATAATTTGCTGACGTTATGTGATTGATTTTTTTTTGTTTTAAATATATTATTGAATTAGTCCTGTGTTTTCTTTTCCTCCCCAAATTCTTCCATAAGCCTCGACTGAAACGATGTATTGAATGATGTAAATATGACGTTTTTATCCATACTAATATTATAAATGCAATGCGAAAGTAGCTCTATCTGTCTGTCTTGATTTCACGAAAACTACTGAACCGATTTAAATGAAAATTGGAACACAGATAGTTAGGGCCTGAGAAAGGCAATTTTTTAATTGGAAAAGAGTGATACAAAGAGTTGAAATATCTTTCTTTAAAAATATATATATTAGTTTTTAAAGAAGTATACAGCGTGTCGTTACCACCGCGACAATAAATGAACACACATATAGAGGATAACTTTTTTAAATTGTATTAAACATTTACATTCTTTAAACATCAATATTACCGAGTTATTAAATTTTCCAAAACAAACAATTTTAGAACACCCTTACGTATAAAACTGTAACGTAAAGTTCATTTGTAAAGGTCACAAAACATATGAATGGGTTGAATGAATTTAAAAGAGACAAAACATACTGTTAGAAGGAGTGGCTTGTAATGTGACGCTGTGGCGCGAGTTGTACAGGTGTTACAAATTTTGTTTCTTTTTTATTTAATTAGTTTGTTTGAAAAATATTTTTTTTAATTATGGATTTTGTTTAACGTTAATATTTTTGTATGATTATTGGCAAGTAGCGTTAGACGTGTGTTCATTTATTGTCGCGATGTAACGACACGCTGTATAAAGTTTTCAATAGGACATAGGTTGACTGTGGTTGGGCTATGCAAGTCTTCGTTGTTGCCTCACGACCACGACCTCAGAATATCGGCGTGAAGTGGAAGTTTTACGCTCCGGCGTTTCGTCTGGTCAGGACTGTTTCCAGGGCCCACTGTCGAAAGGTTGCAACGCATCTGCAACCCTACGGGTGTTGCAAATGTCCATGGACGGCAGTTATCACTTAACATCAGATGAACCGCCAGCTCGCTTGCCACCGTCTACGCCAATACGAGTAATTTAAATAATGTGAAAGATCACACTTATTTTTACACACACAGTCTTCTAAATTAACTGATGAAGAAATATCCGCTCCACCGACCAACAGACAAACAGCCGCTTCTCTGTTCACTTCTCTCAGTGCCTCCTGCTATCCGACAGGCTTGATTTTGACTTTCGCCCAGCAGTGGGATATGTATAGGCTGATGCGCTATGCTAAACGATAATAAACAATTGTTTAGACGCAAAAAACGACAGCATAGGTGCCTGGCGAAGGCATTCCACTCTATCGTCCATCAAAATTCAAGCTTTTTGGAAGCTTCCCAAGTCCCTAAAAGATAATTCCCACACCACATGCCCTACAGGAGTGCCAGTAATGCTGGACGAAGAAAAGGCTGAAGG